AATGGCGAGCACAATGGCGTAATTTTTTAATAATTAGCTATATAATTACTATTATTTATGGACATTTGCATGTCTATAAATTACAGCTCATGGATATAAAATAGATATCCACCATGGACTGGACATTCAGTGGATATTGGGATGTTCAGTAGATATCCAAAGGATTTGGTGTGCTGTCTGGGTGGATGTTCATTGAACCTAAAAAATAAAAAAAATCAACAAACTTGGTAAATATACAAATTGTACATGGCATTCCACTAACAAAAACAAGAGTTACATACATTGTTATTATGTTTAGTGAAAGTTTAAATATATTTTTGTTAATTACTTACCACCATTTTGTGGTTTTCGTCCTCCTTTAGCTAATTTTCTAGTTCTTCCAGGTTAATTTCTGCCCTTGCAGGATTTTTTTTTTTCATAGAAAGCGTGTATTGAATTAAGGTAACACTGTATTTTAGTTTCAATCCGCCATTAGTACTAACCATATTAATAAATTCACACTGGTAACTAATATTTCGGATGTCCTGTGTTCTAACATCACTTATAGGTCCTAAAAACTACAAATATAGTAAAATTTGTTTATTTTTATATAGAACACACCATGCAATTAATTTTTATTAATTTATTTAGCTATTACAAACTGAAATGAGATCAAAAGAAATTGTAGGAATTGTAGATTGTAGGTTATGTTATTCTTCTTCTTTTCTTCTATTAAGTTTGTGAATTATTTTTGGCCCGAACACTCAACATTAGTGCGTTTGCTAGCGAATTATCAGATCGGCATCTGGGAAAAATTCATATAGATATGTATATACCCAGACAGCACACCAAATCCTTTGGATATCTACTGAACATCCCAATATCCACTGAATGTCCAGTCCATGGTGGATATTTATTTTATATCCAAGAGATGTAATTTATAGACATGCAAATGTCCATAAATAATAGTAATTATATAGCAAATTATTAAAAAATTACGCCATTGTGCTCGCCATTGTGGGTAATAGTACCGTTCAGATATTTAAAATTAATTTTTTTAAGGTGTATTCAATATCCCATGGACATCCACTAAATATATCAAAGTCTAGGCGCGAACGCAAACCATGGTGGATATCCACTAGATGTAATTTTTGATTTTGCTTACTAAGTATAGATGGCGATACCAATTTCGCTCGTTGTCATGCTCAACCCGCCGTAATTGAGTTCGATCGAAATTGATATCCCAATCAGACTCCATTAGAGACTGGAGTCGAGAATTTACATTTATTGCTGAAGAGTCCTAATAAGGATGACTTTCTCCTTAGTGGGCAACATTTATTGCTGAAGAGTCCTAATAAGGATGACTTTCTCCTTAGTGGGCAAAATCAAAGGCAGTGTTGAAAATATTTTTTTCTACGAACTCTTACAAAAAGACATCTTTCGCCACAGGATACTTTCAGCGAAAACTTGATTTCCGTCACTAGTGAGAAAAAATCCCATAACGTTTACTTTCGTCTCTAGTGACGAAAGTAAGTTGTTACACATTTTCATATATCAGTCGCCTCGTATAATATTTTGGCAGCTTATAATTATTATTAATGAAATAAAAAGATGCTCATTAAATTCTATATGCGTTTTTACCTAAACTTTAATGAATTAAAGATAAAATAAAAATGTATAAAAATAGTGCAAATTAAACCAATCTACATCTAGTTTCCTGGTTTTCATTTGTTTATTTGAAGTTTTATCACTTTTGAGAACTGTCAGTTTCAGTTCGTCCTAAATTTAACACATTTTCATGATGTCTGAGTCAGAAAGCGATTGTACTCCCCCAGAAATTATTTTTAAAGCTGAAGGTAAACCTCTTCAGATTTATTACCGGCCAAATCAAAGAGATATGAAGAAATTTATATCAAATTTTTGGACTGGAGAGAAAAAAATAACGTGAAATCATTTTCGGAAACTGTACTACTAGCATACTTTGGAGAAATATGTTCAAATTTTAAACCGTCGACGTTATGGTCCATTTATTCGATGCTAAGAACTACACTCTCTGTTAAAAAAGGTTGTCGATATTAGTAAATATCCAAAGTTACGTTCGCTTTTGAAAAGAAAATCTGATGGTTTTAAAAGCCAAAAATCCAAAATTTTTTCGCCTGAAGACATAAAGACTTTCCTAAAGAATGCACCAATACTTAATACATAACTACTAATATTTGTAGGTAGCATTAGTTTTTGGATTATCTGGCGCTTGTCGTTGCCACGAACTAAAAGATTTAACAATAAGCGATGTAAAGGATACTGGAAGTATTCTGTTAGTTAAAATCCGTCATACAAAAACAAAAGTTCCGCGTTCTTTTCATATTTCTGGACCCTTATATGATAATTCTAAAAAATATATGAGCCTACGTCCCGCAAACATGGATCAAATTAATTCAAGATTCTTTATTAACTATCAGAATGGAAAGTGTAGCAGACAGGTTGTTGGAATTAATAAAATCAGTAAATTTCCTAACGAAATTGCTCAGTTTTTAACGCTTCCGAATCCTCAAGATTACACTGGGCACTGTTTCCGCAGTACATCCGCAACGCTATTAGTGGATGCAGGAGGTGACTTGCTTCTGTTAAAAAAGCACGGTGGTTGGAAATCTAGTAGTGTTGCGGAAGGATATGTTGATGAATCTACGAACAGTAAAAACCAAATACAAACCAAAATTTTACAATCTTTCCAAAATAAGGAAACTACTAGTTCATCCGATTATGGCGCATCATCATCTGAAATGACATTTAACAGTAGAACAAATATGTCGGCATCTACCTCAATAAATAAAAAGCTTGAGTGTGATACCCCCATAATTTTGAACAATTGTTCAAATATAACAATAAATCAATATTTAAATAAATAATATTTCTGAAATATTTAATTGTTGGTTAATTTTTTGTTATTCCTAACACAAAATAAAGCATTTGCTAACGTTTGTTTTTTTTTCATTTTAGTAGGTACCTACATGACATAATAGAGTTCGTAGAAAGAGTATAGTGTTTTACTCGTCGAAAATCATTTTCGTCACTCGTGAAACAATATACTATTTATCTCTGCTATTTTCTTTCGACCTTATTCAATAATCATTGGTTACTTATGAACACCTCTAAAGATATCCATAAAATATTTTGCTGAATATCCGAATATCTTCTATATCCTGGGATATAGACGGACATTTGGATATCCATATTAGATCCACTATTGGATATATTGGATATCTACAAAATATATTCTGTGGATATCTCTGGGATTTCTTGTATTGTCTGGAAGATACCCCTTCTATATTCTGGATATAGACGGACATTTGGATATCCATATTAGATCCACGTGATATTTCTGATATACTGTGGATATATTGGATATCCACAAAAGATATTCTGTGGATATATCTGGGATTTGGTGTGTTGTCTGGGTAAACGTGTTTTTACATTTATTTGGTGTTAATTTTTACCTGCAAGCATTTAGAACATTCTCAGAATATGAGGTACATGCTCGGTATATGACTTTTAGTATCTTCTAAGAATGTCTTGTTATAGCACCTGCTCAGTATATACTTTTTGCAATATACTTTTAAGGCACGTACTCAGTATATACTTTTTAGAATATACTTTCATAACATGTACTCAGTATATATTTTCTAGAATATACTTTCAAAGTATATACCAGGTATGTCCTAAAAACATTCTAGAAGGGACATACCAAAAAAAAACGTTCTTAGTATATTCATAGAACATTGATGTTATGTGGGTAGTAGAAGATAATGAGTGCAGGTTCTGTGAGAAGGAAAAAGAGGACGGAACCTCCATTCACATTCTGACTGAATGTGTAGCACTCCAGAATCCAAGGGCACTATACTTTAGGAGTATATCAAATAAAAGAGAGCGATCTACCTAACTTAAAGCCACTCCAAACCCTACACTTCCTTATCGAGACTATTTCCTTGTTACATTAGCGACATAAGGAGACACAATATATTAATTAGGTGGATATGACTGTTATTTCTTTTTCAGGAGAGGTAAAAAACGTTTCTATGATATATCTATAAAATTAATCAACTTTTGACTTTGTCAGTTAAATGTTATTGACATGTGACTTGTAGGTATCTAATAATAATATTAAGAATGACCACTTAATAGAGAGTTATTGCAAGTTCACTAAGGTCAGTCACTATTAGTGCCGCTCTTATTTTGACATCTGAGCATGCGCAGATCACTAACTTCAATAAAAATTGTGCCTGTCCTAAAAAGAGAGTTATTGCAAGTTCACTTAGGGTCAGTCACTATTAGTGCCGCTCTTATTTTGACATCTAAGCATGCGCAGATGTTTATGTTCTAAAACTGACTTTATTAAGGATTGTGCCTGTCCTTAATTGTGGATGTTTAAGGGCAGCAGGTAGTGGCGACTTTATAGCTTTTGGATGCGCTCGTCATTTAAACCTTCTAAAATTATAATTTATAATGCCTCTTTAATATTAGGTACTATTATAGAATTTATTTGACTCTAATTACGATGTCACTATTAGTGGCTGGCTTTATAGAAATTTGCAATATCTCTCTATTAAGAATAGGCACAATCTTTATTAAAATTAGTGATCTGCGCATGCTCAGATGTCAAAATAAGAGCGGCACTAATAGTGACTGACCTTAAGTGAACTTGCAATAACTCTCTAATAATATGCACAGTTTTGTTAGTAGTTTTTTTACAATTGCACTACTACTAGTATTGCTAATAGAGATAAAAAAGTTTGGGCATTGGATAGGATGATGCAAAATATATCAGAGAGCATGTTCGTATTAAAAATTATTTTAATAAAAAAAAGGACATGAACACTTCATCCTATATTGACCCCTTCAATTATTCAGTAAACAACAATATATTAATTTTTTACTGAATCTGAACACAATGCTAAAAAATATCAATACGATGATTTATTAAATTATGTTTATTATATTATTCTTATTTTTTTTATAAATTTTAGTTGAAGATTGTCGAACTTTTACCATGGCTGAATCTTATGGATTACCCGGAGGCTTTAGTTTTAGATCAATACAGAAAACACTTCTAAATACCCTTATATCTGTAAGAGCGCCTATTGTCGATTATCAAGAAGCCAGAGGAGTTTCCAGAGATGAGTAAGTTTATTTGGAAGAATTTTAATTGAATTAAATTTTTGTTGTGTAAACATATTTCCACTTACCAAAGAGAAAGCTAGAATATAAATGTAACTCTTAGATAATACCTAGGGTTAAAACTTTTTGATTTATGTTAACCTGTAGCAGTGGCGGCTCGTGGGTTTGAATGTAGGTGACGCGTTGAAAATAAAAAAATACGATTATAAATACATATTTGACCCAAAAAGAGAAATGATCAGAAAGCTAGGTTATATTAGATTATATATATTTTACCCGCGTAATATATTTTGAATTTTCAGATCGATTGACATTTGAGTGCGATTTCTTGTTAACTATACTCTTTTACCGCGTTTGAATATCCACATCCGATGCATTTTTTACATCTTAAGCGTTTGTTTATCCACATCGGACACACATCTATAGATAAAGTAAAAGTTGAAAAGTCTTTTGGTAGGTAGAGAGGGGGTAAACGTCAAACCACGTCGGGCGGCTCCGAGAATTTCACAGTAATGTTTACCTGCCAGTGTCGTTTCATAGAATAAGTAGTTTTAAATTGTTCTCGGAGGAACCGGACAATCGCATGTATTTATGGATTATAAATAATTATTAAACATGTATTATAATATTCAAATTATAATTTTACAAAATTTCAACAGCTATTCACAATTTATTAAACTATTTACTCGAAATTGTTATTAACATCTATAAAATAATTTTGTACGCCAATGTATCGTGTCCACTTCGGTGAGATCCGCTGACAACCTGTCAATTGATGTGTATAAAGTGGGAGAACTGGCAAAAGCATTTCCAACTTTTACTTCTGTTCTACTATATCTACATCTGCGTTTGTTTATCTGAGATGTATTTGTCCAGATTACATTTTTTACATCTCGATTTGAAATAAGATGTGAATAAGATGTTCGTTCCATGCCAGAAAGTAAGTGTTCTGTGAAGCCAAGTTTGTCAATTTATCCTTTGTTTGTGCTAGCATGAATATAAAAGTGATTAGTTTGTTTAATTTTTGTTTAAATTTCAAATTTAGGTTGATTTGTAGTCTCAAAAGTCAAATTTAAAAACTATAAACTTCTAACTTGTTATTGTAATTTTAGATGCATCCAATGTGGATATTCAAACGCAGCATTTGACTTATAATAATAATAATAATAATAATAATAATAATAATAATAATAATAATAATAATAATAATAATAATAATAATAATAATAATAATAATAATAATAATAATAATAATAATAATAATAATAATAATAATAATAATAATAATAATAATAATAATAATAATAATAATAATAATAATAATAATAATAATAATAATAATAATAATAATAATAATAATAATAATAATAATAATAATAATAATAATAATAATAATAATAATAATAATAATAATAATAATAATAATAATAATAATAATAATAATAATAATAATAATAATAATAATAATAATAATAATAATAATAATAATAATAATAATAATAATAATAATAATAATAATAATAATAATAATAATAATAATAATAATAATAATAATAATAATAATAATAATAATAATAATAATAATAATAATAATAATAATAATAATAATAATAATAATAATAATAATAATAATAATAATAATAATAATAATAATAATAATAATAATAATAATAATAATAATAATAATAATAATAATAATAATAATAATAATAATAATAATAATAATAATAATAATAATAATAATAATAATAATAATAATAATAATAATAATAATAATAATAATAATAATAATAATAATAATAATAATAATAATAATAATAATAATAATAATAATAATAATAATAATAATAATAATAATAATAATAATAATAATAATAATAATAATAATAATAATAATAATAATAATAATAATAATAATAATAATAATAATAATAATAATAATAATAATAATAATAATAATAATAATAATAATAATAATAATAATAATAATAATAATAATAATAATAATAATAATAATAATAATAATAATAATAATAATAATAATAATAATAATAATAATAATAATAATAATAATAATAATAATAATAATAATAATAATAATAATAATAATAATAATAATAATAATAATAATAATAATAATAATAATAATAATAATAATAATAATAATAATAATAATAATAATAATAATAATAATAATAATAATAATAATAATAATAATAATAATAATAATAATAATAATAATAATAATAATAATAATAATAATAATAATAATAATAATAATAATAATAATAATAATAATAATAATAATAATAATAATAATAATAATAATAATAATAATAATAATAATAATAATAATAATAATAATAATAATAATAATAATAATAATAATAATAATAATAATAATAATAATAATAATAATAATAATAATAATAATAATAATAATAATAATAATAATAATAATAATAATAATAATAATAATAATAATAATAATAATAATAATAATAATAATAATAATAATAATAATAATAATAATAATAATAATAATAATAATAATAATAATAATAATAATAATAATAATAATAATAATAATAATAATAATAATAATAATAATAATAATAATAATAATAATAATAATAATAATAATAATAATAATAATAATAATAATAATAATAATAATAATAATAATAATAATAATAATAATAATAATAATAATAATAATAATAATAATAATAATAATAATAATAATAATAATAATAATAATAATAATAATAATAATAATAATAATAATAATAATAATAATAATAATAATAATAATAATAATAATAATAATAATAATAATAATAATAATAATAATAATAATAATAATAATAATAATAATAATAATAATAATAATAATAATAATAATAATAATAATAATAATAATAATAATAATAATAATAATAATAATAATAATAATAATAATAATAATAATAATAATAATAATAATAATAATAATAATAATAATAATAATAATAATAATAATAATAATAATAATAATAATAATAATAATAATAATAATAATAATAATAATAATAATAATAATAATAATAATAATAATAATAATAATAATAATAATAATAATAATAATAATAATAATAATAATAATAATAATAATAATAATAATAATAATAATAATAATAATAATAATAATAATAATAATAATAATAATAATAATAATAATAATAATAATAATAATAATAATAATAATAATAATAATAATAATAATAATAATAATAATAATAATAATAATAATAATAATAATAATAATAATAATAATAATAATAATAATAATAATAATAATAATAATAATAATAATAATAATAATAATAATAATAATAATAATAATAATAATAATAATAATAATAATAATAATAATAATAATAATAATAATAATAATAATAATAATAATAATAATAATAATAATAATAATAATAATAATAATAATAATAATAATAATAATAATAATAATAATAATAATAATAATAATAATAATAATAATAATAATAATAATAATAATAATAATAATAATAATAATAATAATAATAATAATAATAATAATAATAATAATAATAATAATAATAATAATAATAATAATAATAATAATAATAATAATAATAATAATAATAATAATAATAATAATAATAATAATAATAATAATAATAATAATAATAATAATAATAATAATAATAATAATAATAATAATAATAATAATAATAATAATAATAATAATAATAATAATAATAATAATAATAATAATAATAATAATAATAATAATAATAATAATAATAATAATAATAATAATAATAATAATAATAATAATAATAATAATAATAATAATAATAATAATAATAATAATAATAATAATAATAATAATAATAATAATAATAATAATAATAATAATAATAATAATAATAATAATAATAATAATAATAATAATAATAATAATAATAATAATAATAATAATAATAATAATAATAATAATAATAATAATAATAATAATAATAATAATAATAATAATAATAATAATAATAATAATAATAATAATAATAATAATAATAATAATAATAATAATAATAATAATAATAATAATAATAATAATAATAATAATAATAATAATAATAATAATAATAATAATAATAATAATAATAATAATAATAATAATAATAATAATAATAATAATAATAATAATAATAATAATAATAATAATAATAATAATAATAATAATAATAATAATAATAATAATAATAATAATAATAATAATAATAATAATAATAATAATAATAATAATAATAATAATAATAATAATAATAATAATAATAATAATAATAATAATAATAATAATAATAATAATAATAATAATAATAATAATAATAATAATAATAATAATAATAATAATAATAATAATAATAATAATAATAATAATAATAATAATAATAATAATAATAATAATAATAATAATAATAATAATAATAATAATAATAATAATAATAATAATAATAATAATAATAATAATAATAATAATAATAATAATAATAATAATAATAATAATAATAATAATAATAATAATAATAATAATAATAATAATAATAATAATAATAATAATAATAATAATAATAATAATAATAATAATAATAATAATAATAATAATAATAATAATAATAATAATAATAATAATAATAATAATAATAATAATAATAATAATAATAATAATAATAATAATAATAATAATAATAATAATTATTAATAATAATAATAATAATAATAATAATAATAATTATTAATAATAATTATTAATAATAATTATTAATAATAATTATTAATAATAATTATTAATAATAATTAATAATAATAATAATAATAATAATAATAATAATAATAATAATAATAATTTATCACTTGGGACTTTTTTTATTTTGTTGGTCCACTGATTGGAAATTAAAAAAAAATAATCATAAAAATGTCGT